TATACCACGTCCCTCTCAGCTTTTGCTCTAGGGAAACTCCAACGTCTTCAGAACCGTGCCATCCACGCTGTGTTCAGCCTACCACCCACACCTTCGGTAAGCCACCAAAGGGAGAGCATATCCCTCCGCAAAATCGAGGAGACACAACACCACAGACTCCTTGATCTCATCTGGCGCGGCCTGAACGGCCAATGTAGTACAGCGCTTTCAAAGCAGCTGACGCCCGCAACCACGGCCCCAACTCGACATCAAGCCAACGCCGGGCTCATTCTCCCGCTGGCCAGGACGAATACAGGCACTCGCCGACCGTTCTTCCGTGGACCTGCGCTGTGGAACACTCTGCCAGCCAGTGTACGTTCCTCCAAAGCCGTGGCCGATTTCGAAGCAGCCGTGTACCCGCACACTCTCAGGCCATAAACGTTTGTAAAGAAGAGAAACAGTGACATGCACCCCCCCCCCCCCCCCACACACACACGGATAGTGTGTATAGGCATATAACGAACGGTCTTTTCCTGTTAGCTCTGTTTGTCCAATACATGAGATAAAACGTCTTTCTTGTTCTTTTTCCTTCTACATGTAGCTGCTTCCAGCATAGTAAACGACAGCACCATGGCCTTTTCAGATTTTCATTGTACCTATTTGTAGTACCTCCCGGGATCAGTATTTCCTACTTGAAATAATATCCACCCCAATGCCTCATTCTTAGCATCCTTTTATTCGCTTCCATGTAATTGGGCTTATTGCCCGTTTGGTATTGCGAATTCAAATAAAAACAACAACAACCCTCCTTCTGAAATTGGACACCTACAGAGTATCCGAGATATTCAGGCAGAAGTTTATCGTTCTTGTCTGGAGGTGTCGGAATGGGCACGCAAGTTCCGATCTGCATGCCCTCCTAGTTCCTTCGTCAGCTGTCCCAACTAGGTTGCACTCCACCATGGGTCTGCGCAAACCGCCAGTTTGCACCAGGTTTGGCAAGGGTTGCCTCGCGTTCCGGGTCGCCCAGCTGTGGAATACCTTACCCAGCGATGTACGTGCCATCTCCACACTCCACCAGTTCCGCGCCAGCAGGATAGCGGGCCTGGAGGCAAAACAACCTAACAACTCGAAACGAACTTTATTCACAATTCTCTCTCTCTCTCTCTCTCTCTCTCTCTCTCTCTCTCTAGAACGGCAAAACTGCCTCTAGCAGTAAAACTCTGAACTCATTGTGAAAGATAAAATAAACGCAATTTATGGAAAATCATCACAAACAGCAACGTACAGAACAGGAAGACTGAAGGAAGACAGGAAAGAAAATGCCATATCTGGAATTAGCTTACACTGGCAATGTACATGGAGCTCCATCCTTTAAGTCGCTGGAGCTATCTGTCATGGAGCCCAATCCCTAGAGACGCGCTGGCTGCCATCATGACTGGCTAGTTATGGCGGGCGGCAGGAGCAGCGGCACTGGGGCAGCGGCGGGTGACGGCGGGTGCTCCTTCAGATACACTAACTTGAGCCCTCATGAAAACTAAACTAAAATTGAAGGCTATCACAAATGTGTAGCGGCCATTACATCGGAAAACATGCAACTAGAACAAAACTTTACCGCTGCCATCAATTTTGTAGCACCATTGCTACCAATGTAAATTGGGTTCGAATCTGACCAAGTTAACTTTAACCACCGCTGCCACCAATTTTGTAGCGGGCCTGGAGGCAAAACAACCTAACAACTCGAAACGAACTTTATTCACAATTCTCTCTTTCTCTCTAGAACGGCAAAACTGCCTCTAGCAGTAAAACTCTGAACTCATTGTGAAAGATAAAATAAACGCAATTTATGGAAAATAATCACAAACAGCAACGTACTGTCATGCGACCGTTGTATGGTAGAACGAACGTCGTATTGAACAGTACGCTGAGCGTATACGCAAATGCTAAGCTTGTAGCGAACGTCGTATTGAACAGTACGCTGAACGTGCACGCAAATGCTGAGCTTGTAGCGTGACCAACGCGCGACCAACGCTACACGCGCCAGCAGGATCCCGCACACCCTTAGTACCTAGAGTATCAAACATCCTGTTTGATGATCAGCTGGCTTAGTTTCTCCCCACCTCTATCCTTATTGCATCCCTTCCCAATATCATTAATTACTGCTTTCTACCTGCATTCGCCACCTTTTCATTGGGCAAATCTGCCCGTTTGGCTTGCGAATTTTTAAAAAAAACACAACAAAAAATATATTTGTATCCAATTTGAGTTTGCACAATAGTTAAAGAAAGGGAATTATTGACTTGGGCGTGGGTAACTCTATCTGTGTGAGCGCGGTCATGGCGAAGGGAGAATATGCCATTCACTTAGAACTGGCAACATGTACAATGATGAGCTTTGTACCAGTACAATGATGGGCTGCAGTATGAAGGGTGGCTGAACAACACCATGCATGCATTATATTCATAGAGTGCTGTAGCGCTGGTAGTCATTACATGAAATTTTTCAACCCAGATTGAGAGTGTGTACAAGGGAAAAAATAAGTGGGTGTTCACGTGAAGACAGTTGACTCGCGTCAAATACTGATATGCCGCCACACTCGTGACGTTGCAGATATGTGGCTTGATTATTGTAGTTGACGTTGATTTAGTGACTTTGGCAAGTTTGAGTCGTGTCAAGAAGTCAGGTAGGATTCAGTACTAGGCGGTAGTGGAACGTGAGTGGTAGTCTTTGCCGATTTTGGAGGGTATCCTGGATTCGGTTTGAAGCGCGGTGGAAATGGCTTGCTGTGGAGGTCCCAGCACTGGATGTTGTATCAAAGGTACGACCTCGTAGCACGCCCTAAACCTAAAAAAAATTCAAAAATTTACTTGGGTCTGTGGGAGTCTGTGACAGAACGCCCTCTCCTGCCGTTGTGACAGATTCCAGGGCCACGTTGAAGGGCCCTATCCCACCACCCATGGCTGCTTCTGGACGTTTTTTAGGTTTGGTTCCTGTGCACGGACAGAATTGGCTAGAATTGGACAGAATTGGCTAGAATTGGCTTACCCATGCCGGTTCCTTTTTTCTTCTCCTCCCCTTCTCCCTTCCTTGCCGTGGTTGGCTAACACCCTCTCTCTTTGTATTGGCCGGTGTTCTTACTGTGCAATGAGATGCTGTAATAAATAAATAAATAAAATGTGGAAAAATTGTAAATGTATTTGTTTGGCTCCTGAGTGGCTCGCCAGCCGTGGCACTATGCCGGAATTTTGAGTATTCCAGCCTGTGAAGTCTGTCAGTGAGGCGCAAGAACTTTTAAATCATGTCCAGAGGGCCAGCATAGAGGCAGGAGTGTGTGGTGCAAATTTCACTCAAATCCATTGAGAGACACCAAAGTTACGGTCAATTGAATGCCATGAAATTTAGGACCAGGTTAAAGGGGAACTCCACGAAAAAATGAAAATTTGATAGCCTGTAGAGTTTCGGGCGCTGAGTCGAATGGTCTTGGTCCGAAGTCTCTACGAGAAAGCGTTCTTGAGATATTTCAATTTTAGCCACGCCCCATACCAATGTATGTGTGACGTCATTGTGGCATGGTGCGAAAATACTTGGATTTTGAATCTCACTTTCTTCAGGACGAAAGTCACTTCAGAAAGTAGTTTGCCAAGTCGCCTGAGCCGCTGCAATGCCAAATTGTTGTGTTGTTGATTGTGCCAGTATCACATCATCCTCCTGGGGTTAGTTTTCTCAAATTCCCAAAGGATGGAGACCTGGCAAAGCGCCGAGATGTTGCAATGCGTCGTGAAAATTTCAAGCCTATTTTCGCAGCACGAGCTGTGTTTGCTCGCTGCATTTATGATCCAGAGGGACTTGAGAGCTGAGTTTTGACGAGTACGCCGTCCAGGAAAGCCCTCATCAGTGTACCAGTGCCCTCCGAACCGTGAGCCTCCAGCAAAGCGAACTCAACAAGCTGCAACTGAGAAAGCAGGGCGAGATACGTCCCATCAGGATCAGAAGAGTACATCACCCCATCAACTCCGACTGCAGCTAGGTGATGAACGATATTACCCCAGTAACTTTGCGCATACCAGTACTCAAACTGTGCACATCTGTCATCAACTGGGACGCAAACAGCCAGACCCCCAGCAAGTACGAAGGTTACAGAACTGTTTGCTTGCGATGTGCAGGCAGCATGCACGACGAACTGTCTCACCAATCCTGCCAAACTGAACCAGTGTAAGTTGATTGCGTGGATATGTCTCTATTTATAACAGCTACCCTACTTCTAGGCATGGTTGCATGAATACCATATCACTCAGAGCAGTTGTTAGAAGTCTGGACAGCCTTGGAATAGTGCAAGTAAAGTGAAACAAAATATATTACACTCCGAGTTCCACGCTTGCGGGATCACCAGGCCAAAAAAAATATAATTTCGAACAAGGAATGGGTTCTGGTTGTATGCGAAAGAAAAGTAAGTGAAGACCTATTGTGCAAGGAATACAGTGGGAACTACACGTATTATACACATGCACTCACACCTTCACCCACATGCGCGTGCGTGTGCGTGCACACACACAAACACAACAACACACACACACATACGCACCCACATACTCAAACTCACTCGCACGCACGCACGCTAGCCTAAGGATAGTACATATGCTGTAGTAGTGGTATACTTAGTGAAATGACTATGTGTACATCTAATGACGCCGCCACTCCACGCCAGAAGACAACAAACATCTGCTGAACATTTTTGCTCCCGTCTCTTATGGGCAACACAGGGAATGAAACGAACAATGCAATTGAGAACAAGAGTCGTCCTGTACGGTGAAGTTTCCATTTTCTCATACAGCAGTATATTGTCTAAGCAAGTGTGTTTTCTCCACATTCTTTTTGCCATGCAGGTATATCACAGTGTCATGCCAAACTACATTCTCAAACGCATTCGTTTCTCAATTCTGGGGATGATTGGACACGCACATCTCGCAGCTCTTGTCGACGTCGATGTCAACCGTCGCCACAGCACAACCAAAAAGACCGCGATAGGAAGGTATAAAGTCCAGTTCTCAAAGCATAAAGAAGACTGTGGCCAAATAGAAAATTATACGACAGAAAGAGCTATGAGTATGTTGACAAGCTCATGTGTGAGGTGGTAGCGGTTGCAAATGGCAACCTCCATGTTCCTGCCTTGGAGAAGCGTGTTTCCCTGCCAAATTCCAGGTGGAAGCCTCCTGAGAAGGCTGAGGTGGTGCAGGATTTGGATATCTTTGCCTGATGGTATTCACAACGCAGGCTGGAAGACGACAACGAACGTGCTTGCCCAATTTGCCGTGTACATAGTGTGTACTGCCTGTGTGCCGCATAGCGTAGAGATCTACACAAACACAGAATGTCATATGGAATGTGTATGATGAGTGCTTGTACACATACCACATTGCTGTACCGTAATAATTATTATAGTCAAATACTCATTTACTCTACATATGCGCTGTATTGCACCTACCGGTACCTACCTGCACTTTCAGTGCGCGCGCCATACTAATTTAGTGTCCACTGGTACAAAGATGGAGGGTCTTGTAGAATTTACCATAATTGCTGATTTCAAATTGAATTCCAATGATCTGGGGGATGAATACTGATTAGGACGCGTTCGATTATCTACTAGTACAGAGATGTCTTGGTCAGAAAGTACAGATTTCTTACTCTCCTGCCAGAATTTGTGCATTATTTTGGTGTACGCTTTCTTGACCCCACGCTTGTACGTTGCATGCCATGGTATACTAGAAAACGAGTTTATTGACAAAGTCTATCGCTTGAAACGATAAAGTATGGGTTCGGGTGTGATCAAATGCACCCATGGTGCTCATAAACTGTGTGCAGTGCTCTCTTCACCAACAGAACACTACCTACCATACTTTGTAGATCTTGTACCAATCCAAGGGAAAAGGACAAAGACAAATGTGAGTCATGCATGAAAACTTGTGATAGCACGGTCTATAGTACAGAACAACGTTGTTCGTGCTATGCCTGACAACAATAATTAGTTACACACAAAACATTACGCGCATCGATCCTCACAAGATAAGTCAAGACATACTCGGAGCAAAGAGAAATTTGTTTGTGTCATGCATGAAACTTGTGATAACTACCAGTACAATGTCTTTCTTGTGCGACACCTACTGTAGTGCGCCTGACAACAATAAATTTCCCCCAAAAAATATGAATAAGTGTATCATGCTGATACGCGATCCTCACAAGACAAGTCAAGGCAAACTAATTGAGGCTTACCTAATGTCAGACTCTTCTGTCACTGGCATTGGCGGCTTCTGCATGTCGAGATAACCTCGAAGAGCAGTGATGAGCACAGCCTAATGCAAGGATACGATCTCGTAATCTGCGAGGTCCGCTACGCAAGAAACCTTGGGCCGTCTTGTCGACAGCGACGGCAGCATCCTACCAGCAAAATCATTCCCGCGGGCTGGGCATGGCTATACACTTTTGTCCACGCTCGAACCAGTCGGAGTCCCAAACGAATCGAGATTCTGGTGGCCAAGCTACTCGTCTTCTGTCGGACGCAGCTGCTGACGCATCTTCTTCCTCCACATTTGTTACACGCGATGGCAGCTCCTCAGCAGAGTATCTGGGCTCCCTGCCCCAACCATACGCGGCGGTGGGCTGTTGGTCGTCCTCACTGGCCTCAGCATCGCTGCCTTCATTGCTGGGGACAGAGGATTGTTCGGAACCGCCCATCTTCCCTTGAAATACCAAATAAAATAGTTCTTGTAGACTGGCGAAGAGAAACGACTTTGCCACAATGACGTAGGCAGCCCGTGATGATGTAACCGAATGGCCGCATGACGTCAGGGCGCGGCCCCCGTTTTTGCAATTTCAAAGTGAAATATCTCAAGAACGCTTCGTCGTAGAGACTTCGGACCAAGACCATTCGACTCAGCGCCCGAAACTCTACAGGCTATCAAAGTTTCATTTTTCGTGGAGTTCCCCTTTAAGGTATCAGCCTGGTCGTAAATTTCATACGGCATTCAATTGACCGTAACTTTGGTGTCTCTCAATGGATTTGAGTGAAATTTTCGATTTAAAAGTTCTTGCGCCTCACTGACAGGCTTTCCAGGCCGGAAAAACTCAAAATTCTGACACAGTGCCACGGTGTGCGAGCCACCCAGGAGCCAAAAAATGCATTTACAATTTTTTCACATTTTCTTGCCCATTGTGTCCATGAGCGAGATCCAAATCTAAAAAAAAGTCCAGAAGCAGCAATGGGTGGTGGGATAGGGCCCCTCAACGTGGCCCTGGAATCTGGCACAACGGCACGAGTGGGCGTTCTCTCACAGACTCTCACAGACCCAAGTCAATTTTTGAATTTTTTTAGGTTGAGGGCGTGCTACGTGGTTGTACCTTAGATACAACTCCCAGTGCTGGGACCTCAACAGCAAGCCATTTCCACAGCGCTGCAAACCAAATCCAGGACACCCTCAAAAACCGGCAAAGACTCCCACTCACGTTCCACTATTGCTTAGTTCTGAATCCTACCTGACTTCTTGACACGACTCAAACTTGCCAAAGTCACTAAATCAACACCGACTACAATAATCAAGCCACATATCTGCAATGTCACGAGGGTGCTGGCAAAAGTCCTGCTGCACGGCGGCGGGCGAAGCCCTCCGCCGTGCAGCCCAATACACGGCTAAAAAACGTGATTATTTGGACTTGGAGCATAATTCTGCACACTTTCGCGCGTTTCCATGATATGACAAGTTGCACACGGTCTGCTCAGATTCAAATACAAATACAGTGCTGCCAAAAATGACAGCGTGTGTAGTGTTGTCTTGTCTGTGTGTGTACCCATTGTGCATGCCTGTTCTCTTATTTGTACTCTTCTCTTTATAGATCTAGACTATCCGTTACGGTATCCCTTTGATGATTCATCCCATATCTAGATGATTGTTTCATGCACTGTAGTGTACCCTCAAGTACTCTACTAGATCCCGCTATGGAGTACCCGCCACTGTCTTACTGTATTATGTTTCTTGCACTACTATTAAGTTCTTGCACTGATAAGGAACAGGGTTCTTTGTCTTGTGGAAGTACAACAGTTAGAACTAATGTCTTGGCTCTCTGGTTGGTCTGGTTAGACTAAAGTACGAAACACTACAGCATGCAACAAAAACATCTTTCCTTGCAAGGCACATTTTTGTCATTTGTTGGCGGCACTATATTTGAATTTGAGCAGGCCGTGCGCAACTTGTCGTATCATGGAAACACGCGAAAGTGTGCAGAATTTTGCTCCAAGTCCAAAAAATCACGTTAAAAACACGTATTGGGCTGCACGGACTTTTGCCAGCACCCTCATGACGTTGCAGATATGTGGCTTGATTATTGTAGTTGACGTTGATTTAGTAACTTTGGCAAGTTTGAGTCGTGTCAAGAAGTCAGGTAGGATTCAGTACTAGGCAGTAGTGGAACGTGAGTGGCAGTCTTTGCCGATTTGTGAGGGTCTCCTGGATTTGGTGTGCAGCGCTGTGGAAATGGCTTGCTGTGGATGTCCCAGCACTGGATTTTGTATCAAAGGTGCGACCTCGTAGCACACCCTAAACGTAAAAAAATTGACTTGGGTCTGTGGGAGTCTGTGAGAGAACGCCCACTCGTTCCGTTGTGACAGATTGCAGGGCCACGTTGAGGGGCCCTACCCCACCACCCATGGCTGCTTCTGGACTTGTTTTAGGTTTGGATCCCGCGCACGGACAGAATGGGCACGAAAATGTGAAAAAATGTAAATGCATTTGTTTGGCTCCTGTGTGGCTCGCACACCGTGGCACTATGCCGGAATTTTGAGTTTTTCCGGCCTGTAAAGCCTGTTAATGAGGCGCAAGAACTTTTAAATCATGTCCAGAGGGCCAGGGTAGTGGCAGGAGTGTGTGGTCAAATTTTCACTCAAATCCATTGAGAGACACCAAAGTTACGGTCAATTGAATGCCATATGAAAATAATGGGTAGTAGGGTCCAGCGGATAGTGCTCCGAAAATGTTCGTATAATGCTAACCATAATGCTCCAAAAACTGCCTTATAATGCTGATTGTAATGCTTCGGCAAGGGATATAATGCTCTTGGTTTGGAACAAAAATGGAAGAAAGTCTGCACATTGTCAAACTTCCAGGAAATTATGCATATCGTCGATCTGCATTTGAAGCTGCCATCTTACCTCTCACGAGCTCCACCACTTCTTAGCACTATAAGACATGATCGCTTCTCCATTGATTGCTCTCCATTCCAACTTTGATGCAGGGTTGTGGCAGAATAGTCGGCGTATCAAATCTTTCCCCTAATTATCCTTGTAGTGAGAGATGAAACCATTATTGCAGGTAGTCATTCATTGTTGGGATGAAGTAACTAGTATTCCTGCCTGCAGACAAGCTGTCACTGCCTCCACTTTGTGAATAATGTCTTCATCTAAAACACCAGACGTGAGGCCAGCTCCTGAGATCCGATCTCAGATGGAGAGCCCTCCCATTTGCGGAAATCCTGAAAACACATGGTCAGAAGTTATTTTGCCACTCTACATCCTTTGCTTGTGCTCTCATCTTCTCCTTCGGCTTGAGATGGTGTGTAGACGTAGGGCTTGCCACAATACTCTTCCTTTCTGATAGCATTTGACTGTAGGCCTGCCATTACTAGTTTTTACTACCGTCCACAACTAACTGTACGTGCTTCATCAGGAAAGTAAGACTGGCGCTGCTGAGCAATCGACTTGGTACTGAGTCAATGAGAAATTCTTGTTCTTTTCGAGCCTCCTGAGCTGGACTCGGCAAAGGCAGTTCTTTTGGCACGAGCTATTTCTGTTTATAGCCGCTCCTTCATCCTGGTCCCAATTTAGCAATGCATCAGTGTCTACTTCAGTATCGCTAGAGATGCTATCGCCAGAGCGTCTGGCACAACTAGAAAACTCTTCTTCGTCTGTTTGGTATTCACTTCGTGTATGTCTTCTCCAAAGCTATCCATTACCCTCAAAGAAACCTCGTAAATAATTTCTCCGGATTTGTGTCACTTGAACTGCCTCGCCGCGGCGGCCTCGGTTGGGCATGCTTCACATATGGCTTGTATACATTTACCTGACCACATCGCTACAATCATAACGTTTTTTATGTAGCAATAGTTATGTAGCATTAGTGCTAAAGGTGTTACGTGTCTACACAATCACAAAGTCAAGCGCCGGTACAACGCATAGTGCTCAAATGCCCGAAATAGGCGGAGCGTAGTACGCAAGAGGTACACAAAAGGAGTAAAATAGGGCTGTTTCGTTGTTACTCAGAGTTTCATGGCAAAAGCCAATCATCAGACAACATCTCATGATCATGATTGTAGCCGATTGTTGCCAAAAACCTGGGATTTCCCGATATTATCCACTATGGAACTCGCTATGCCGCTCAAACCTCACATAATGCTCGTTTTGTTCCTTTCTAATGCTCCATAATGCTCTGATGCTCGGATAGTCGTATAATGTCGAATATAATGCCGGTATTATCCGCTGGACCCTAATGGGTAGGCTGCTACCTTAAGCTGGCAGACTACCCAAAAATTCGCTGAAAAATCGAATTTGTAAATTCATATTGAGTGCTACGTCAGTTGAGAGAGCATGAGTAGCTGCAAATTCTCTGAAAATTGTGTCTTAATCTGACCAGCCGTTCAAGAGTTATGGCCGAAAATGTGCTCTTGCAAGAAGAAAAATTTTGTTGCACGCTGTCATTTGTTGGCAGCACTGTATTTGAATCTGAGCAGACCGTCCAAAAAAGTCCAAAAATCACATTAAAAATCACGTACTGGTATTAGGCTGCACAGTCGCGGGCGAAGCCCGCCACTGTGCAGCAGGACTTTTGCCAGCACCCTTGTGACGTTGCAGATATGCGGCTTGATTATTGTAGTTGACGTTGAATTTGTAACTTTGGCAGAGTCGTGTCCAGAAGCCAGGTAGGATTCAGTACTAGGCAGTAGTGGAACGTGAGTGGTAGTCTTTGCAGGTTTCTGAGGGTCTCCTGGATTTGGTGTGCAGTGCTGTGGAAATGGCTTGCTGTGGAGGTCCCAGCACTGGATGTTGTATCAAAGGTACGACCTGGTAGCACACCCTAAACCTAAAAAAATCAAAAGTTGACTTGGGACTGTGGGAGTCTGTGAGAGAACGCCCACTCGTTCTGTTGTGACAGATTGCAGGGCCACGTTGAGGGGCCCTACCCCACCACCCATGGCTGCTTCTGGACTTGTTTTACTCCGCGCACGGACAGAATGGGCACGAAAATGTGAAAAAATTGTAAATGCATTTGTTTGGCTCCTGTGTGCGTCGTTCAGCCAAACTCTGGAGGAGCACATCTGGTCCAATGATGGCCATTGCCTTCCGCTGAATGCGGCCGAGCCTGGCCAGATGGGTCGGGGCAGCAGACATCCAGACCAGTGGAGCATACTCCAGCATAGGGCGAATGAATCCTCGGTAGACACT